TTTTCCTTTGGGGACATAATAAGTAATAAATCGCAATATATGCCTATGTTATCGCAATACTCAGAATATCGCAGTATCGTGATAATATCGTTTCGCGGGACCTCTGGTGATTCCCACCCCTAATATACATATATATATATATATATATATATATATATATGTATATATATATATATATATATATGAAGATGCACAGGTAGAGCTGGATGTGATGGGTTTCAGGTCGTCTCATTACATTACATTACAGTCATTTAGCAGATGCTTTTATCCAAAGCGACTTACAATTCAGAGTCTATCACATTTCTACACCGTAGGCACAGCTACGGGAGCAATTTTGGGGTTAAGTGTCTTGCTCAAGGACACATCGCAACTAGCGGAGCCGGAGTTCGAACCGCCGACCCTCTGATCGAAAGACGGCCCTGCTATCCACTTAGCCACAATCGCCCTAGTCTCACCTGGTTTCACGTCCTCTGAGCAGCAGGCGAGGACACAGTCCCTCTCAGACCGGACCACACGGGCGTCCATCGCCGTGGTCGGCCTGTTCAGCGCCTGTCTGAGGTTCACGATGGCGCTCTGGTGTTGTCTGGAGAAACACGTCTCCGGCTCCACGCCGGACACAGGAAGTGATGTCATCAGCAGCAGGAGCAGCAGATGCACCGCGGCGACGGGCGGCCTTAGAGTCCACGATGAGGACAGAGTGTTCGCTGGAGGAGTCATGTTCACCTGATGCTGATTAACTGAAGTCAGAAATAAAGTGAAACTAAAATTATTATTATTATTATTACGTAACATCACAAAACGTTATAAATGTTTTTTAAGACTTTCAAAGCTCATCAGTTTGTCTCTGAGACGGTTTTCTGCTGCGTCAGCATCTTCAGAACAAACAAATTAAATTAGCTCAATCTGAGGAGTAAAAATAGAAATCTAAAAATGAACATGACTCTTTCAGGAGACAGAAAAAGAAGCTTCTATTTTTAGATCTTCTGAGAGTGGACGAGGTCGGTCGGGTTTTAAAGACGGAGATTTAAAATCAGATGAAATAAAAGTTGTTCAGAACAGAAACTCACCGAAGAGACGCTGAGATCCGTCCTCCATCTGGAGGTCCAGAGTCCTCTGAGCTGGACTTTAGTCTCCTGTGAGGACAGAGACTCATTATGTCTCTTATCTCCTTAAGAGACACTATCTGACCCATTATCAGAGACCTGCACCCGGTTCAGACCTGCACCTGCTACTGTGTAGCCCCGCCCCTAAAGCATACCCTGCTTTATGGTCTATTAGAGACCTGTCAATCACTGTGTAGCCCCGCCCTAAAGCATCCCCTGCTTTATGGTCTGTGTGACTCTATATGGACCATAATGTACTAAATGAACATCATGCTGTATTGAAGACGACTTGAAACTAGAGATTGAGACCATAAACTCATGTTTACAATGTTTACTGAGGTAATAAATCAAGAGAGAAGTAGAGTCATTTTCTCATAGACTTCTATACAACCAGAGGAGTCGCCCCCTGGTGGACACTAGAGAGAATGCAGTTTTAACACACGAAGAACCAGAGGTTTGTCTCATTCTAAACTTCTTCTATTACTCTTTTAAACCTTAACCTCACCAGACCAGATCAACAGCTTCTTTATGACCTTTCACAATAAAAGCCTGTTCACCAGAAGGAACTAAAAGTTACTCAATTCAGCATTTGGCTGAAAAGGAAACTCAATACAATATGAATTGTATTTTATACAACAGTTTACATCAAACAGAGGACACAATAGCATTGTAGTAGTTCGTCCTCGACACAAACCTTTTCAAATGTTTTCGTCATAAATTCACATCTCAGTATGAACAGTTTAATCTTTACATCCCGTACCGTAAAGGCTGTAAGTGTATATTTATATTTATAATAATATCTTTACCTTTCTGTCACACTGGAGCAGTTATCTTTATGCTCTATAACACCAGACTCTATTGACAAAAACGGTAATTTTACCTCAATCTTTGTGTTATTGTGTGACTTTGGTGTTTTAAAAGTTTGATTAAGTTTAGCTTAATTTAACTGATTATTTAACTAAAATTCGTCACTATAATGATTACAAGATATTATTTTTTTACGTACTTTTGGCATTCTTGGTCTTCCATACAGCGCGTCTCTATCGGACACAATGAGCTGCTAGCTTAAAGACAAAGATAAAGATAACGTTATTAAACATGGCGGTGAAAAGCAGCTAAAGTCTGGTAAACACCATCACGACAGACAGCTGGTTCCTGTCTTTGTGTCTCTGGTCTCTTCTGATTTATTCCCAGCAACACCTGCCGCTCACACGGCTCTCTGTACTGGTGTTAATGCCGCTAACGTGACAAGATAATACAACGATAATAACCGGAACATAAAGCGTCATTTTCCCGCCTAAACTCCGCGGTTCTACCTGTATTTACTCAGATTAAGTCGCGTGCATCATCATGGATCCGTCGGTCCGTCGATGAGTCCGGTGAAGAATCCAGTTAAACCGGTTCAGTCCGAGTCAGAAGCTCCACTATCCCGAGACGACCCGTGTCATAGAGATCCTCCCGAATGAAAGACGAACCCTTTAAATGTATGAATGTGTAAATGAAATGATGAGTATTATTAAGCGACTCCAGGAGGATGAACTAGATCACGTGATGGCTGATGAGAGAAAGAAGAAGCAGAAGAAGCTTCAGTCTTCTGACCCATTTTAGTCTTTGTCCTCTGGAGGGGGTTATCACTGATCACATGATCAATAACATGTTTATGAACATTAAAGATCAATAATACCTTTAAACACTGTTATAAATAAGAATCTCTGTTAATAACAGTTTATATTCAGGTTCATTAATAAATAAAGAAGAAAAACACTGTTCAATAGTACGGAAGATCATTAACACTAGAAAATAATAAACGAGATACTAAGTTAAAAATCATGAGATAGCAATATTAGTATGAGATGTATGGAAAAATGAAATACAATTTAAATTCATAAAATGACAGAATTATGAGGTACTAAGTCAAAAGTGAAATATTAAGTAACAATGTTTACGTTTGTAACGTTTTGGGGAAAATATTAATACAAATAATGACTTCAGTAAAATGTTTGACATACTGGGAGAAAAATTATGAAATTTTGATATAAATAAATAAATCTGTTAATGTCAGCAGTTTATATTCAGGTTCATTAATAATTAAAGACGATGAAAGGAAAACACTCGACAAAAGTATGGAAGATCATTAACGTCTAGAACAAAACAAAATAACATAAGATATTCGGTCAAAATTATGAAATAGTAATATTTGTATTAAATGTATGGAAAAAATAGATGAAATTTTAAAAACATAAAAGTCTAAATTATGAGAAACTAAGTCAACATTTAAATATTAAGTTAAAATAATTACGTTTGCAACATTTTGAGGGAAAAATATTAATAAAAATGACTTTAATTTAAAATGACCTCAGTAAAATGTTTGACGTAGTGGGAGAAAATTATGAAAGTTAAATTAATGTTTCTATTTTTGTGGTCTCATGAGGAATGTGTGATGTCACAATATTAGAAACAAACAAACAGGAAGTTAAAATCACCCATGAATAAATAATATATATACACATACAGTATAGAGATAAATAAATATAGATACATATATATATATAAATATATAGATGTATATAAATATTAATATTTGATCAGAATGAAACAAGCAGGAAGTTAAAATCAGTCTTGAACGGTTTAATATTAAAACAAAGAGTCGGTTAATGTTCTCAATGATTGTTTTTACAGATTTTATGTATTTATGACGTAAACAAACTTTGACATCACGTATTATTGCGACAGTGAATCTATGGAAGAAAAACAAAACTAAACTCCAAAATATGTAAATGATGACAAAACTCAAAACAACATATTTAGTGTTAAATAGGGTTAGGGTTACAGGACTTTAAATTATTATCAGTTACTGAATCTATATGATCAGCTCTGTGTCATAATTTTATCAAAATTATGAGCGAATATTAATAAAAAATCTTCACTGTTTCTCAAAATGTTTACCTAAAAAGATGTTTTGACTTTGAGCCAAAATGACGTTTTAAAAGTTTAATTTTATAAACATTTTAATGTCTTTTAACATTTAGTTTGACTCACTGAGAACTTTGACTTGATAAATGAAACATGTTCAGTATCTTATGTGAGAATGGTTCTGGTGGTCCTGGTCTTCAGCCTCTTGGATCTTTGTCTTCATAGAAACATGAACGTTGGTTCAGAGTTCAGCTCATCGTTTCCACGTCGTCCATCTCTTGGTCCTCCGGAGGTCCAGCTGCTCTCTTCTTCTTCTTCTGCTGCTGCTTCGTCTTGGTTGGATCCGATGAGGAGTCCTGCTTCTTCTTCGGTGGTTCTGCTTCGACTGAAGAGAAGCATCAGAGGAATTTTAAACAACTTCCACAAATATTGATGATGTGAGTTTATAATAAATATCTAAAGAAAGACGTTGAATCAGTAAAGTCAACAATAGTGATTTATTTAAGACTTTCTGCCGGTCAAGAAACAATATTTGTTTACAAATAAATAATAAATGTTTTTCTTTAACAATAGAAAAGAGCCGATAAGAGTATTGATAATAGTACTAGTATTGATACTGATAATATCCTAACGATACTCATCTGAGAGAGGGGAGAGAGGAGAGGAGAGAGAGGAGAGGAGAAGAGAGAGGGGAGAGGAGAGGGGAGAGAGGTTTTTGGTTTTTAAAGTCCCTTTATTTCACTATTGCAGTGAAAAACAGAAACACTCTAAATCATCACTTAATAATCAGAAAATCAATAAAATAAAAACAAATAACCAAAAAATAAAGCACCAAAGAACAAATAAACAATCAATTTCAATGATCAATATGTTCAGAAGTTCACCACCAGCACCCACTGAGCATAAAATGCTCCCAGTAGTCCATCTGTCCCTGAAAGCCTGAACATTGTCCACTGTCTGGTAGTAGGTGTGTTCCACCCTGAGTCGGGCTTTCAACAGTCCCTCCATAACTTTCACCGGATTCCCACTACCGGCACCCCGAGCCCGATTCTTCCGTGTCAACCAGATGGCCAACTTGGCAGAACCAGATAAAAAGTTCACCATTGTGTGGACAGCCTTCTTTTTTGAGCAGTATTTTGGACCGAAGATGAACAACATAAAAGAAAAAACCTCTCCAAGACCCTGAAACCATCTTTTTAACCGTTCAAAGAGTGCTGAGAGCCGAGGACACTGAACAAACAAGTGTTCCAGGGTCTCAGTCTGACAGCAGAAATAACACTCCTCCCCAATGTGTGGATCCAGGTGTACCCGGTATCTGTTGGTGGCTATAGCTCCATGTACAACCCTCCACTGGAGGTCTGCTGTCTGTTTTTCAACGGGCAGCTTGTACATGCACCTCCAGCAGCCTCTCGGGGAAGAACCTGGGCCAAAGAACTCGGTCCACATCGACTCTGTCAACCCTGCCAGAGAGCGGAGGTTCACAACCTTTACACAGATTTCATAGATAGCTTTTTTCTCTGCTGCCTGAAACTTGTCCAGGTGAGGGGTTGTGAACGTCAGCAGCTTGTTTCCTCCCCCCTGCCAGTCCTCCACCGCTGGGGCAATGAGCAGAGTGGGGAGGGTGTACTCACTCTCTTCATCCCATTGGTCAGACAGAGTACAGTTTCCTGCAACTGCTCTCAGGCGTTGTGGCAGGGCGGCACAGACCTCCTCCACTATTCTATTGGTCAACCTGACAGACGTGATGTTAGTGTTCTGCCTGAAGGTGACCATAGATGCTGCTGTTAATGACATCTTCACCAAATGTCCCAGTTTAGTGCAGCCGGCTTCTCTCAGACTCGTTCTCAGGCTGGCAGACTGCAGCGTTTGGGTTCTAATGAAGCTGTTGAAGAACAAAGGTTCCTCCAGCAGCCACACGCCCGGAGTCTCATCAGCTTTACGTGAAATGTTAAAAATCTGCCACGCCTGCAGAACAGAGCCGTAGAACGGCGTCAGCCCGGCCAAGTCCACTTCCTCAGGTTGTAGGAGAAAGAGCTGCTTATCATATCCCAACCGCCCAGCTCTCCTCAGCAGCAGTCGAGCCGTGTCCATCCAGCTGGGGCCACAGCCATAGAGCAGCTTCTGTGCAGTCCGGAGTCTGAAAGAGGCGATCCTGGACTGGATATCGATGAGACCTTGCCCCCCCTCTGCCACAGGCAGATAGAGAGCTGCTGCACGAACCCAGTGCCGGCCGGACCAGAAGAAGTCCACGACAGACCTCTGTATCTCTGCTATGAGGCCTCCAGGTGGCGTCAGAGCGATGAGTCTGTGCCACAGAGTCGAGGCAACCAAATTATTAGCAACCAGAACTCTTCCCCTATATGACAACTGGGGTAGTAACCATCTCCACCTAGAGAACCGAGCACACACCTTCTCCTTAACTCCCTCCCAGTTCTTTTTCTCAAAAACCTCAGAGCCCAAAAACACACCCAGCACTTTTAGACCTTCTTTTCCCCACTGAAGACCTCCAGGCAGATGAGGCACCGTCTGATGTCTCCACTGACCCACCAATAAGGCTTCAGATTTTTCCCAGTTCACCCGTGCAGATGAAGCCCTCTCATAAAGAGACAAAGCATCCTGCAGACATAGAACATCTCCCTGGTCCCTGATGAAGATGTTTACATCATCAGCATACGCAGACACAGCGAGGGGACTGCAAAGACTGGAGGACCCAGGCAGTGACAGACCACTGAGTCGACTTCTCAGCCTGCACAACAGAGGCTCAAAAGCGAGGCTGTATAGTTGCCCTGAGATAGGACAACCCTGCCTTATCCCTCGCCGTACAGGGGTTGGTCGACTCAGGCCAGCTCCCATTTTTACCATACATTCAGCACCCCTGTACAGCAAACCCACCCAAGCCAAGAACCCATCACCAAGCCCAAAATCCCTGAGTGCAGAAAACAGATATGCGTGACCCACCCTGTCGAAAGCCTTCTCCTGGTCTAGTGAGACAATACCTACATCGACATCGTGGAATTTACATACATCAAGCACATCACGGATGAGAAAAATATTGTCCATAACTGTTCTATCTGGGATACAGTACGTTTGGTCACTATTTACAACCACTTCCAGGTAGTCTCTTAGTCTGTTAGATAAGGCTCTGGAAAGCACCTTATAGTCTGTGCAAAGCAGGGCCACTGGTCTCCAGTTCTTAAGAAGGGCCAAGTCGCCCTTCTTGGGCAGCAGAGAGAGTACTGCCCGCTGGCATGGAACAGGAAGTGATCCTGTTTTAAAACATTCCATCAAAACAGAGTGTAAGTCAGAACCGATAATGTTCCAGAATTTCTTAAAGAAATCCGAGGAGAGACCGTCGATTCCCAAAGTCTTTCCTGAAGCCATCTGTTTCACTGCAATCGTCAGCTCCTCCAGCGTCAGCTCTCCGTCCAGCATAGCCCTCTCTGCTGGACTGAGCTGGGGAAGACCCTCCAGGAGCTCCCTACTGCTCTCCGTACAGGATTGCTCTTCCCCAAGAAGAGCAGCGTAGAAGCCCACGGCATGAGTCCTCATCTCCCTCTGGTCAGTGGTTATCCTGCCTCCTGGGAGCTTCAGACAGGTCATCTGCTTCCTCTGCACCACCGATCTCTCCAGGTTGAAGAAAAACGAGCTTGGGGCATCCATGTCCTTCAACTGGAGGAAACGGGACCTGACCAGAGCTCCTTTCACTCTCTCTTGCAGGAAGGAGCTCAATTCCAACCTCCTCTCCTTCAGCAGTTGGCCCACACCGGGATCTGGGTCTCTCTGGAAGCCCTCCTCAATGATCTTTATGTTGGCTTCAAGGTCTTTAACAGCAGACTTGATTATAACGGTGGCGTTTGAGGTGTATTGCTGGCAGAACACACGGATCTGCGCTTTTCCGACCTCCCACCACTGTTTCAGAGAACTGAAACGAACTTTTTCAGTTTTCCACTGCTGCCAAAGAACCCCAAAGCTCTGACAAAAAGTGCTGTCCTGTAGAAGTTTATTATTAAAATGCCAGTAGGAGCTAACCCTTTCACCTGGTGAGGTTATCAAACCTAAACTGACGAGGTGGTGATCGGTGAACCCAACTGGACTGATTGTGCTGTTCTTCAGTCTGGAACTGAGACTGCGAGAGATGTAAATTCTGTCCAGCCTGGCTGCACTGATCCTGTCGTTGCTGACTCTAACCCATGTGTACTGTCTGTTTAGTGGGTGTTTTATTCTCCACGTGTCCAACAGATCTAAGTGTGTGATGACGTTGTGGAGACTCTGAGCTGACTGTGGGTGTGGTTCCTCACTATTCCGGTCTATGGTGAAGTCTAGAGTACAGTTAAAATCCCCTCCGATGATCAGTTGCTCCTGCTGGCAGCTCTGCAGTTCGTTTTGCAGCGTAGTGAAGAAGCGTGCTCTTTCTGGCCCCTGATTCGGTGCATATATGTTCACGAAGCAGTAAAGCGAGCTCTCTATCTCTGCCCTCACCATCGGCAAACGACCCTTCACCACCTCAGTGACAGACAGGACGGTTGCGTTAGCTGCTGTTCTAAACAGCACGGCTACCCCGGCACTAAGATTGGTACCGTGGCTCAGGGTGCATGAGCCCTCCCACCATAAACCCCAGTCTACTTCATCTGATGGAATGGTGTGAGTTTCTTGCAAAAAGAGGATGTCCAACCTTTTTTGATTTACAACCTCCTGGATTAATGCTCTTTTATGCCCGTCCCGCCCACCATTGATGTTTAAAGACCCTAAATTGAAGCTCTGCATAGAAAGGTCAGAGGATGGAAAGAGGTAAGACAAGATAAGTAAGCAGTGGAAAGTGGAAACCCCCGTGTGACACATGATCATGTTAAACTGTCTTAGTTTTTTGAACTCTTCCACTTTTCCTTACTTTCCTCAAGGTTGTGATGTGTTTCTTTGGCGGAAGCGCTTTTTTCCATCTAGAAGGTCCAAACCCACCTTTCTCTGCGCCACCCCAACAGATCGTATGAACTTCTCAATGTCAGGGAAATAATCACTCACTTTTGCAGATCTATTGTAAGTTACATCCAAAAACGAGTTTATTTACTCTAGTGAATACAGATCAGTGCCTTTAATGCACGTTTCAGAATTAGATGCAACATCTGATTCACTCTCATACTCCATGTCCTCTCCTTCACAAGACAGCTGGCTGTTGGACACAAACCCTACACTCTGTGCTTCATCTAAGGCTATGGTGAGATCTCCACCTGCTGAACCTGTAGCTGCCTCTTCACAGACTTCTACAGACTGTGGTGGTGCTTCGGTACCAGATGTAGTGAGGTTCTGCGCCACCACAGAAGCCTGCTGGTTGTAAGACTGTCCCTGATCCTCCTTATCGACATTATTGTTATCAGCAGAAGACGAAGAAGCGCCGGAGCGACCGCGGCCGCAGCCAGAGCCGGAGCCGCCGCGGCCGGAGCTGCAGCCTCTCTGCCGCTTGTGCGGACACACTTTCCAAACTTTCCAAACCTGCGCACATTTTCTAACAGCTCGTTCGGTATAAACGGCGGAACACCGGACACGGTGATCCGCGTAGAGGGCACTGAGAGCGGAGAGACCTGCACGAAGCTGTCCCTGATAAAGACGCCGCTCTCTATCAGCTTGTGGACATAAGCCTCGCTCGTCAGGAACACAACCACAGCTTTATTCATCCGAGATGCAAAGGAGAGTTTGTCATGTCCCACCTGCTCTCCGACAGCCAGCAGCACCTCCTCTACTGACACGCTGCTATCCGGTGGAACTACCCGGACTCCCTGCCGGATTGACGGGCGTGGCGTCTCGGAGGACGCATCCTCCCGAACAACGGCAAACACCACTAATCACACGTTCTATCGATAAATACACTGCTTAGTATCTTACCTGATCATGCGCAGAGACAGAAGAACAGAGGAACAAATCCCAAAGCAGTGAAAATACAATCAAACCTCTGCGCCACTCTCACGTCCACCACTCACACTCACACGCAACCGGAAACAGAGGAGAGAGGAGAGGAGAGAAGAGAGGAGAGGAGAGGGGAGAGAGGAGAGGAGAGGAGAGAGAGGGGAGAGGAGGGGAGGAGAGGAGGGGAGAGGAGGGGGGGG